CCTCGGCTCAGGCTGCTTCGAATTGGGTGTTGGTGTATTAATACAGCAAATACTGTAGTAAATACAAATAGACCTTGCTTCAACCCAACTACATAAAACATAACCAATACAGCTACTAGCTTACTGTTGGTCAAGGCACAGAGAGCCTTCTGTTTTCTATAACTGAAGCATGCAGTAGTTGATGTCGTCCAAAAATTAGGGATAAAACTTTGTGAAATCTAAGTTCAATAAGCTGCTCTTAACACAGTTATTTTGAAGCTAAAATAAAGGAAAGGCATGCAAAAATTCCATGATAGTTTTGCTATATATCTGGGTCTATGTTCTGGTCCACAATACTCCTTTCTGTCCAATGAGAGGAACAGTCGTCTCATGTGTTGCTTTGTTTACAAGTTATAGTCAACTTGCCAAACAAGAAATGTGGAAGTGAACTGTGGTAAAAAAAAAAAACTAAAAGTCTAAGTCTAAGCTAAACAAAGATGACATATTTCAGAAAGTTCAGGTAAGCTCCCCAGCTCCCCAGAAAATATAATAATGAATACAAAGTTAATATCAGAGAAACAGTTGAAGGAAAACTGAGGTATGGAAGGACCATAGTATTCCAAACAATCCAGCAATGAAACTCCAAAACTTAAACAACTAAAGATCAACACAAAAAGAATTGTGAGTCAAGAATAGAAAAGGAATGTCTGTCCATCCATTTCACTGATCCTTAAGGCTCATTTATACTTCAAAACTAGGTCGTCTGCGTAGGTGTTGCGCTCAACTGAGAGACGTCCCCGCCCCCTCCGCAGATACTATGCTGCACCTCTCCCAAATTGTAGGGGACTGCAGACAGTGCCGCAGACAGGAGGCCACTGATTGGTCAAATCTACATCTGCTCCAAACTATGCGTATTTCCTGTTTGGTACCTTACTGGCTTGTTTTGTTTGTATGACCGTCATTGTGAAAAACTACATGTGGAGTTGGACCAGCTAGAAGAGCGAGGTGTGCGAGAACGCTGGGACCCTTTTTCCACCCAGGTCCTCGATCTTTTTAGATCATATGTCCCTCCGTTGTAGGACAAACTTGCCCCAACTTCCTCACTGCCTCGGCCGTAACTAGACCCACAGCGAGTTTGTGATTGTCACTCCTGCGTTGTGGCGTGGAATAACAGTGCAGACCACGCTTCAATATTGAGCATAAATCAAAAATGTCTGTGTCATACTGTACCTGCAACAAGCTCTCTGCAACACACTGCTGCGGGAGTTTAACCAGCCCTTTAGGCCTAGATTTGTGCTCAGGTTATATAAACTGCACCTTGCTCCATTAGAGTGTTGGTTTAATGAAGAAGACAAATTCTATTGTAATATAAACTGCACTAACACTATTAAAATCAAGCTAATCTTATATAGATTTTACACCATGCTTGTCACAGTTGCTTGATGAGAAGCCCTTTTGTGTTTGGTGTAAAGGTTTTGAGCAGTTGAAAATGATATGCCTTTAAGATACACTTCAGTGAGTTTGCTTGTGCATCCTTACTTCTTCATCTACATCACAGAGAACCGTCTGCCAAGCAGGTACTTAACTACCAAACATTGAAGCAGGGTGGAAGCAGAATTGGGGCATCTACCCAGAGATGGAGGGGTGAAGCTGTGTAGGACTGAGTGTGCTGTCATTTTGCAGCTCAGTAAATTCCATTTTCAAGTTTGGTGGTGTTCTTCATGTCAAAAGACAATGAATTATAGAACACCTTTATGCTATGTTAATAATAACAAAAGGCAAATATAAACTCAATGGGCAATATCTATACTTTGAAAAATAGACAGGCTATCTCAATTTATCAGCTATTTGTAATACAAACGCAAATTTCCTCGCTGCATCTGATTTTTCCACAGGCAAAGATTGTGTGCATCCATAATAACAACTTCAGATTGTTTTTGTGGTGAACTATGAAAGTGGCTGCCTAGCCAATAATAGATATACCAGAATTGTATCATGTGCCATATGAATAATAGTCTCTTTTCCTATACAAAAAAACTTTATTTTTGCAATAAACTCTAAATATGTGTTTGTTTTCTCAATAACTTTTATTAAAGTGCTAAAGGTATATTGTCAGGGGAGCACAATACTACCAACATAGTATCTTACTGTATCTACAGTATACATGTCGAGCAATCTGTGGTCAATATTTAGCCATGGTTTCAGTTTATGTCAACTGCTGTCAGATTCTGCATTGCCTGAGGGAACAACATCCACTATGTTGCCCTGTATCTGACTGATCCGAGTGGGCAATGTTTTCTGCCAGTCACAGGCCTTTTGAAAGGCAGAAAACCTGGTAAAAATTTCTAATTTAAAGAACATGGCCATTAAAGCCTATAGTAGAAAGAAAAAAGTGCCAAATTTGATGTGTGAAGGCACACTCAGTACACTCGATCTTAAGACATGGCTCTGAACTTTCAAACTCTTTTTGTTGTTTTTTTTTGTCTTGAACTCCATGGGGAAAGAACCAATTGAGCTTTCATTTTGAACAGTTTTCATTTTATGTGAGCTTCAAACATTTTTGATTTTACTTCTGCAAGGATTTTTCTCAAAGGTTGTTTATCTGCTCCCCACTGTTAAACTTTCAGTACGTGTTTTATAGCTGTGCTGCTTTCAGTCTTTCAGTAGTTTTCAGAAGAAGGAGATGACCTGTACTATTTGAAATAGGCTGACGATGATGTTACCTTAATGGCTGTGTGAGGCATAACACTTGTGAACAGAAGCAAGACACAAAAAAGCAGAAGAAATTATTAAGGGTCAGGGATGAGCGTAATATAGTTGGCGACTGGAAGTCTGGACCCAGTAGGGGACAGGAGGAGCAAGGACCAGTCAGATAAGACCCCTCCCAGTGTGACTGGGAGGAGCTGATGTAATGGCATTAATCTTCAAGTGCCAACTGACACCTAGTGTGACTCTGTCATTGAAAAGTGCTAATTCTGTTCAGCTGTAAGGGGAATTCAGGCTCTCTGGAGACTTTGCCCAGGTTTAATTAAAGACAGTCATTGGGCATTACACAGATTTATCTGTTTTTAACTTTGTCGTTCTTGTGCTTTCCACACAAAATAGAGCAAATTTGGAAAACAGACACAAGAAGCACTGTTATGTTATATATACTACTAATAAAAAAGCACTCAATAAAATAAAACATTTAAATAACTCCTTCTAGAATGAATGAGTGACCTATTCTCATTGCATACTTTGTTCTGTATAAGTTGAATGTGCTCACAACAAAATTGCAAAAATATCATCAACAAAAACACATTTTATAACCAATGAAGGCTTGGTTATGGAGTCACACACAAAATTAAAATAGAAAAGCACAGCAGGCTGATCCAATTTTGATGTAATTTCCTTTGATGTAATGCCTGGGCCACGGAACTAGAACAGTCTCAATTTTTACAAATACAAAACTCGTTTTTTCTGGTGTCTAAGGCTAGATTTAGCGCTCTTGGTGCTATGTATTTAATGTTAGACCCTGGTTTCAATACATTTCCCATGATACTGCAGGTACCTTTCATAAAGAATTAAACTTTGTTGAACTGTTTCCGTCTGACCCATAAATAATGAGACTCTGTAAAGTATTTATTTACCAAATTCAGAATGAAAATTACAGCAGACCATGTGTTAAATTGTGGAATTTCCCCTCACAATGAATAGTGCTATAACACACCCTATGTCGGACTGAATAATTAGAAACAAAAATGGGTATTATCTGCTTGCCTTTTGGAGTTTTTCAATTAACCAGAAAAAAAAACAAACAGATAAAATACAACAGGCTTTTTCAACAACCTGGTTTATAAATAGGGACTTTCCCTTTCTTTAAAATGCTTATGAAGTTCTAAATTAAATTATTTTTAACAGTCCTAACCACATAGGAGTCCTTTAGTATTAACACAATACATAGATGATAAATGAATTTTTTTAATTAGTGGGCCCACCAAAAAATAAAACGAATGAAAACCGGCAATATGATCAATAAACCCGGTTGCAGGCTTGATACTGATGCTACACTGATCCTCAATCCACAACAACAAATTTATATAAAGTCCTGATGACTCATCTCCCCAGATAACAGTGAGTTAATCCACGCCATTCTTAGTAAAGGAATAGTAAGGAAACGGCTGCCAAATTCAAACAGCTGGTTCAGTGCAGGTGCAGCTAGTCTGTCCCTTTCCACCATCTCTGGTGAAGACCTCCAGCATCCAGCTCAATCCAATCTCAATCCTGGTGTTCTCTGGCAAATGCCAGGCGCCCTGAACGGTGTTGGGCTGTGAGCACACGCCCCGACTGTGGACGTCAGATCCTGATACCATCCACATTGAGTTGGTTTCAGTTTGTGCAGACACAATCTGCATCTTGTGACCTGTTTGAGGTCATTTTGCAGGTCTGTGGCAGTGCTCCTCCAGTTCCTGCTTGCAAAAAGTCGGAGGTAGTGGTCCTGCTGCTGTGTTGTTGCACTTCTATGGCCTCCTCAATGGCTCCTGGTGTCCATGTCTCTGCACACTATGCTGACAGATACAGAAAATATTTTTGTCACAGCTTATGCATTGATCTGCCATCTTGGAGGAGCTGCACTACTGTACCTGAGCCATTTGTGTGTTTTGTAGAATCTGTCTCATGCTACCACCAACATTCAAAAGTGAAAAGAAAAATAGACTGGAAAGCACAGGTACTGAGAAGTGGTCTGTGGTGCCCACCTGTAGAACCATTCCTTTAATGAGTGTCCCTTGTTAATTGCCAATAATTTCCACCTTGTTTTTTTTATTATATTTGCGCAACAGCGTGCAAAATATATTGTCCAAAATATTATTTGCTAAGTGGACTGTTTGATTTCACAGAACTTTGATTTGATTTAAGTTATATACACCATATATATATTCTTTATTTACTTTATATAACTATATATGCAATTTCTATATTGTAAAGTTACCTTCTGTTTGGCTAAACTGGAACTTCCTTTCTCTTCTTTTTTGCTTCTTCAGATGAACCGACCTATTCAGGTGAAGCCAGCCGACAGCGAAGGACGGGGAGGTAATTAACCTTCGTCTAGTCTCTGGTGAACAACACCTAAAAAAACACTCACAGACAAACACACAAATACTCTGGAACAGGGCTCAAGCAATCCTTAATATTCCGCTCTTACCTGTGACACACACTGAGAGTTAGTAGAGTTACCTATAATATAGGTCACTTGCTTCTATTGACTTCCCATCTGCACCAGTAGAGAAGCTGCCTGCAGTTCACAACTTGACAGAAAGGCACACAAAATGATGGTGAAAATAAATAAAAGATGGCAAGAACAAAATAAATAATTCCATGTAGGCCATGAATCTGCAAACCAACTACTTTGAACGAATCTCCCAAAACCTATGGATGGGGCAGCATCCATAAAAATTGAAGCATGGCTGCAGACAGAATAACGTCATCTTAGAAAAAGATTTGCCATTCCAGTCAAGAAGCGGTCTAATAATATTAATTAAATAATTGAACATCAAGCTGCAATGACTGGAAGACCCAACATGCAAGCCGCAATGGTTAAACTTGATCATCCATTGAGCCATCATGTAATAAGGGGTTCAAAGTGAAGCACCTTTCGTGATGCGACTGCATAGATGGGTGATGGGGCCATAATGCACCCGCCCATTAGGCAGAGGACACCATTAAGGGCCCGCCACGATGGGTAGAGCGCGTCCTGAAAACTGAAACCTTTCACTATGAGGCGGCCGAATGAGTATTATGCTCATTTGCATGTGTTAAAAGTCAAACAACAGTAAACATGATTAAGTCATCTAAAAATGCATAGGCTACTCCACGAGGTTTGAAAATGACCCATGATTTAGTTTTAAGATGATAAATGTTGAGTTTCCTCTAGGGAATTAATTCATTCTATCTTGATTACACTGATGGAAAGGATAAGCCGACATAGCTTGCCAAGCTTAACTTTTATAATTTAGAGTGCCGAGACATCCGCTTAGATGTTTACTACATATATGCGAGAAAGTGGTGTGAAGACTTGGACTGTACTATCAGATAATGCAGGAAAAGTGATTAACCAGTGTTTGCTTGATTGACTGAGCGAGGACAGTTTTCCTGCTGTTAGATCAAAGCATTAACGTTTTAATATTTATTTGAAATATTAGGCTCAAGTGACCTAATTAGATATCAATGACAACCGGAAATAACTTACTTTTGCTTTATAACTACAATAATTTTGGTTTCTAAATTTAAATTTCTTACCTTAAAATTGGAATGGGTGTGACAAAGCATGAATTTTAATTGAAATCAAAACAGACTGAAAGAAACGTAGGATCAATACAAAATCGACGTTGATTCATCCAACAAAAGCAGAGCACAATCTGCTGATTAAGCCACCATGACATAGCTTTCAACATTGGAGTCTTGAAACAAATACTGTACGTCTCACCTGATGAGAATCAGTGTAAGCCAGTTGAATGGGAGCGAGCTAAGGTGACTGCTGATGGCTGGAACATGGAGACTTGTGTGGGGACTGGGGCGAGGAGAGCGTGGCGGCGCCGCGAATCTCTGGAGCACTGCATGGACCAACATGTCTCAGAGGATGGAATCCGCGCTGGAGTTGTGGATTTGAAGTCCTTTTAAGATGAACTCTGAATGCGTATTGGACTTTGTTGAGGTGCCGTTCAAATCTAATTTGTTTGCGTCAGAGGCAAATGAGCCTCTGATGATGAGGGCAAGTTTTTTAGTTTCTTCAGTTGAACTTCCGCCTAGGCTTCATTAAATAAAATTCCAGGACATTTACAATGCAGTACCTAAAGTCATACCCAAATCCAGAAAGGGATAAATACTTAAGATTATTTCACACTGAAAAGCATTAACACCTGTAGGTACTAGAGTCTTGTTTTGATAGAATTTCAATTTCCACTCATTTCACTTTTTTGCAACCTTTATCGTGCTTCATTCATATCTAGCAAACTCCATCTATCATCACATTGACTCATACCAGTTATACTATTAATTGTGAACTAAAGCAAAAATGCAAAATGCAGCATGATCTTATAACCATGTATGTACCTGTCTAGCCCTCAGAGTGAGGACCATTTTTCCAATTTCACCATCAAAATGAGGACCAGTTGTTGCAAAGTAAGGACATTTTGCCGGTCCTCCCAAGCTATATTGATAATGGATAGGTTTAGGGCTAAGGTCTCAATTGAGTTAGGGTTAAGGTGAGGTAGGTATTGGTAATGGTTAGATTTAGGGTTAGTTTTAGGGTTGGGCTAGCCTGACGTAGTCCGACTCAATTCTAGTCAGAATATGAGTCTGATACTGCTCCATAGAGCTGTGATTATGGGGCGTGTTTCGAACGAACCAGGAAAAAGAATGCCTCTGCACTCAATTGGATAGACCTACAACCAATAAGAGCAACGGAGTGCGTGACGTATGTTAACCGAGGCATAGTTGTTGTCCACAAAAATCAAAGCGTGCAGTTGCACGCCTATAATAAGAAGATGAGACTTGATCGCGTTTCTCTGTTCCTCTTTTAAAATTAATTTGCTGTCGATATCTTCTAGAACAGACCTAATCTACTCACCTAAACTCTCCAGCGGCAGCCATTATTGTTGTCACCCAAGCGCGCATTGGTCACGTGGTTGATTACGTTACTGTTGGTCATCTGTCCATCATCGTATAAAGCCCGCCCTGACAATTTGATTGGATCGCCTGACAGTGGGCGATAATACTCGCGCTACTATGGAGCAGAGCCAGACCGAACTTCCCGACCTCAAACTTTGTGGGCGGGACTAAGTTCGGAATGGCACCCAGGCTAGGGTTGGGCATAGAAAGGGTTGAAATTACTGAAAATCAATGGAAGACAAAGGGAGTCAACACATGGTCCTCACTAGGTATAGCACAATGTGTGTGTATGTGTGTGTCATAAGGATGTCTGGGTTGTGGTTTTTCACATATTTCTATGTTTGCAACAAAGATTCATTAATTGGCATTTGTGTTTGTACTGTAAATAGGTCATTGTAAGACATGGATTTACTTCGATCTACACCAGAGGATGGAATTCTCATCGCAAATAGGATTTGCAGTGTATAGCTTTACTCTAAAAGGTTGTTTTTTCCATAAGAAAAAAAATCCTCATAGCAGTATGATGCTGCCACTGTAATGTTTCACCATAGGGATGAAATCAATAGATTTATATCAGTGTACAATTTTAAGTTTAGACTCATCTCAACAGAGCACTAATCTTCTTTAAACTATTTGTGTCCCCCACATGACTTGCACCAAACATGTTTTCATATAACTATCTCTCAGCAATTTCTTTAACCTCTTCATACCCGATTTGGGGTGTGCATATCATCTGAAAGCAGAGATGATCTCGCTTCAGCCAAGGGTCTCTGCAGATTCTCAGAAAGTTATCCCTTTTGATATTTGAATAGTATTGTCATTACTACTTGGTAGGACTTTCAGCTAAACTGACAGCCATGTCCTTGTAGATTTGTAGTTTTTCAAACCTACCAAGTAGTCTAAATCTGGATCTTGATATTTTTCAAAACGACTCTGCTTTAAATTCCTCCACAGCTTTATGCCTAGTCTATTTTGTGTGTTTCTTGTTCTTCATGAGGGATTTATACAGATTGGTTTATTTGTACAGAGATTAAATTTGAAACAGCTTTAATACTGTAACTATGACAATACCATAGACAGATGGTTGCAATTGACCTTATATAGGCGTGTCGGAGTAACTGTGCTGAATAAATATTTGAAAAACACAATTCTTACTGTTACAGTATCATGAAAGAAAAAAAATTCAACTGATTTTTTGTGTGCAATTTATATCATATGGCTAGCTAATTAAAATAACAAAGGAGTTATTTTTCTTTTACTAAATTTGTAGACTCCATTATGTTTGCGATGAGAATTGCTATACAGTGTAGGAGAAGTCTGTGTAGAAAAAAAACAACAAAATCACACGATTACTTGAAGGTTTCAGGTAATCACATGATAACATGAATTTGTGAGATTTGGATGGTTTGAAGTATTTCAAATTCATTAAATTCATTTAAAAGCACTATGGTAGGCCTCTACGGTATTTAACATAAGCTTGTTGCTAAATTAGTTAAGGATGTACTAAATCTGTTACATGGCATCTTTTATAGTATGACTAACACTTTAATTGACTTAGTCAATCTGATGCCATTTGTTACCAACATCACTGAAGTTAGTGTACTGGTAAAGGTTTACAGTTGAACTAGATCCTGTTAAACTATTGTCTGTAAACCCTGTGCTTGAGACTTTTAAAACAATGATTTAAACAGCCTGTATCATATCAGTCTTAGCAACTATGTTGATTTATGTGCTCCAATGTGAATTAGAGGGTCCATTTCTAATGCTACACACAGACATCACAATGTAGATCTTATTTTTTCATGGCGACACTTTAATTAACGTCATCTAAAAACAGGCAAAGTCTGATCGACAAGGCCAAGAAGAGAGCCAATCAGCATTCTCACAAAGATAAATTGGATCTCTGGGCTTAAGAGGGGAGGATGGATTGGATTCCACTATCAATTACCGCTGTTTTTTTTTTTTTTTTTTTTTTTTTTTTTTTTTTTTTTTGAGAGAGAGAAAGAGAAGGAGATGAACAGGCAGTATGAATGAAATACAGAGGGTACGGTACTTTCATTGGTGAAGCTCCTGCTAGTCTGTCAGATGAACTTTCTATATAGGGGACATGGTAGGACAGCACAGAATGAAATAGGACCGAGCAGACAGGCCCCAGCAGAGATATTGAGCATTAATGGCAACAGGAAGTCAGCAGACAAGGCAGAAGAGGTAAACCACAGTCACAGCTGACAATGAAATGAGATTTACTATGAAGGCTTAGGGTTAAAAGAAAATAGACAGCCCAGCGAGGTTTGACTAAGGGAGAAAAAGTAGATCAGGATTAATCTTTAGAAAGCTGGCGACCAGTCAGGTACACCAATCCCAGTGGAGCCACAAGGCTGTCAAACCTAAGGCTGAACCAGGACATTTGCACCTCTAGAAGG